CAGCAGGTAGGAACCATAAGAGTGATGAAAATCTCCTCATTCAGTGGGTTAACTCATGTTTTCTTCCAAATGAAGAACTGATCTTCAATGACACACAAGGATACACAATGATGCTTCACTAAGAGTTTGGGAAATAGATGATAATCCATTTCATCCATGCTTCAACTGCTCTCTAACTACCTTCTGCTTCTGCTCAGAAAATTTCAAGAAGCCATTAAAATTTTAGCAATATAAAGGCCTGCCAGGCACTGAAGACAGGCAGGCTCAGAGAGAGTAAAATATACCAAATGTTATCACAAAGCAGATATATAGGTTCACGACTAGTTGTATTTTCTTACTGTGTTAATTGAAACAGAAGATTAAAGAAGTTAATTTTAAAACTGATGCAGAATTTCCAACCTTCTGCAACAGACTAGAGAAAATGGGATCCCCTTGCAAAATTCAATACCCCTTCTCATAGCACTGGGACAGTCCTTCTGCTCCTGAAGCATGTAGGAAGGAAGTCCAGAAGCAAAGATGTCTGGAACTGAAGCTGTGGTCTGGCAGCAGCAGCTTGCCCGTACAGGTATCAGAAGTACTGACTTCCATCTCACTCCCCAGTTTTCAAGTCACTGCTCCATATATACTCACTGAAGGTTGTTATCACATCACAAGTGGACAAAGCACTATCAGGGGATCTAGGAGAAGAATCCTTTCTGGTGGTATTTACTTGATTTAAAAAAAAAAAAAATCACTACATCTTTTTCTTGAGAAATGTATTTTTTCTTAATAACACAGAACTCCATTTTTTCTGCAACAGACAAAAATTGTGATAATGTCTCTGCCCCTGATCTAAGTCTTTCCCTCACACCCTGATTGTCCTTATTTTCACTTCCCACCATCCTTGGAGCAAAGTTGGGTAGCAATCATAGCTGTTTTCCTCTGCAGCTGTCCCAGTGTGATATTCTAGTCTTGGTGTTTTTGCTCACTTAACATGAAATATGTCATGACAAAAATCCAAGTTTAGGTTATCCTCAGAGTGGACTGCAACATGGGGCTGGGCCCAAGTGGTGCAGAGGGTGATGTGGGCTCTGCCTGTGCTTGTAGCAAGTATGCCAGCATCACCTCAACCATGCCCACATTTATTTGCTCTTAGGCAGACTGAACATGTTATGGATTTGGATCCTTTCACCTCTAAGGCTGGCTGTGCCCCTGCCCCAGGAGAAGATCAAATGGTGAAGGCAACCTGGTACTAGAGGCTGCATGTCAGAAATTCATACAGATAATACAGAAGAATAGAAGTTGTAGATGCCCCCTCCCTGGAAGTGTTTAAGGCCAGGCTGGATGAGGCTTTGAGCAACCTGATGGCAGGGGGGTTGGAACTGGATGATCTTTAAGGTCCCTTCCAACCCAAACCATTCTATGATTCTAAGTCTTGGGGAAGTAGGAGGAGATAGAGACTAGGAGAGGCAAGGTGGTTTGCCTGAATGAAGAAAAACATTTGATGAGAACAGCTGAACTATTAAAAACACGGAAATGGCTTTAGCTTATCCTCCTCCTGCAGAGACCAGATGAAGCCAACAGTCCAGACTTAAACCATAACCTGGATGTTTTGCAGTGTATTCCACTGGAATATTTCCCATTATACTGCAAACTTTATGCTGTGAAAAGCAGCTGCTTGAGCAAGCTTGTGGCATTTCTGCCTTCCTGGGGTTGCCCTGACTGTGGCAAGACAGACTGAACCATTCTGAGGTATTACTAGGGCTGTGCTCATGGTGCAGCTTGGCTCCCAGAAAGCCAAGGGAGCTGGGGAACAAAGGAACTTGGGCCAGTGGGACCCTGTGCCAGACACCTCCCAGCCATATGGGAACAAAGGAACTTGGCTACATCTGCTACTAAAGCAACGGCAAACCTCTGTTTTGCAGATCCCAAGGGATGCTTCTAAAAGCTGTGAAAAGTAACTAAAAAAAGCAAGCCAGGCTATGCTTGGCTGTGGAGGGGTCCACATCTCAGAACAGTGCTCAGATGTCCACAAGTGGAATAAACCTGAGCTGGTTGTTTGAAAGCTTTTGTCAATAGGTGTCACTGCTCTACTCTTCCTCACTCAAATCACTCTTCCTTCCACTGGCAGCTCAGAAACAACAACCTCTCCAAGCAAAAGTCACTAATTTTACAGGTAAACACCTGTACTTATCGCATCTTCTCTCTCTTACCATCTTCCGCTGCTAACTCCAGTGTTTCTAAATCTCTCAAGCAGCAAATCTGCTACCATTCCTCTTGGGAAACCAGCATGCAGCCTATTGCCACAAGAAACCAAGTCTTTCTAGCTTCTATTTGGAAGACAAGGAGTAACAGTGGGCCTGGAAAACCCATCTGAGAGCATTTACTGAATATCTCACTACCATGAAGGGCCTCAACAACCAAACACAGAGCAGGGAGCAATGCAGTGTATTCCACCAACATTGGCTTACAAATAAAACGCAACAAAGTCCTGCCATGATTTATGACTACAATTTTGGGTTTTGGGCATTAATGTGAACAAGGAACCTCATCTGTCAGACGTGTTACATACAAAAAGGCTCTGACCTGCAGCTCATGTCCTACTTAATATATGGTAATTCATGCAACTTCCCCATTCATCAGTAAACACCCAGCATTCACACAGATTCTTCTGTCATTTCAAGTGAGGTCCTCCACTAAAAACTGCCACCTTTCTAGTAGCATGCAAAGTGTGCAATCTTGCGGGCTCAGGGAGGTTCCTGCCTCCTGAATGCGGGTAAGTAATACATTGGTGTACTGAAGCTCGCATGGAAAAAATAGAAATATACCAAAATAAAGTATTCAGCTAGTAACGTCTTTGTTTGCAGCCATTTCTAGCACTGATACTGTCATACAAAGATGTGCCGAAGCAGCTCCAGTAAAAGTATGACCATGCTGTCCAAAGTGGGGAGGAGGTGTATAGCAAAGCACACAGAGATGGATTATTTATAAGCCTTCATTAAATCAATCACTATGGGGAAGGCGTCATCATCAAAAAGCAGCAGGGGAACTACTGTGATAAAAGCAGACAGGGCAGAACTAAGCTCTAAACCAGTCTGTGTTAGATGAAGCAGCATTGTACCTCTCCCACTGTTGGGATTATGTGTTACTTGAGGCTACTCACAACATGCAAGACAGTAATATCAAACCCCTGGTTTTGACCAGGCTGCACTGCCTCTGCCTGCTGCAGGCTGCACTGTCTCTGGTCCTGGCCTCAGCTGTCCCTGCACCTCCCTAGGGATGGGATGCAACACAGCACAGAGCATTTGGGCTTGCCAGCTCTGGGAAGGGTGATCACTGCTCTTGCAGCATGTTTGGCAGTAGGCAATTGGCAATGAACATCGTCCTTGCCCATCCTAAGGCCATGAGGGATTGCAGCTCAGAGCACAGCTGAATGCTTTTCCAGTCCTTTACCTTGTGCGTGCCATCACGTTGTTCTTCTTGGGCTGCTGATTAACTGGGCTTCCCATGTTGCCATTCTTCAGGGAGCCCTTCCGAGCCAGCTCCCTCTGCTTCTCTGCATACAGGATACAAAGGGGAAAAGCAAAATTAGGGCAATAGCCTGGCAGACCACCATACAGCTGCAGAAACCCAGATATAGCAGCAAAAGGCATAGCAGAATTAATAGCAAAGGACATAAACTCTCCCTCTCCCAAGTAGAGACACTGTAAAGACCAGATGAGCTGTGTCCCACTGCCTCCAAGGTCACCAAGGGCTAGAATTAATGCACCTTGACTCACAGCAGGTTGACAATACCACACTAAGATGGTCATGGAGCTTCTGGATGTGACCCAGCTGGGGCAGAGAAAGGGCAGAGACCTTCTCCCTATTTGCACCCGGCTGCTGCCTGGACCCTAAGAGTGTGCTTTGTGCCAGGCAAGGGAATTTATCCTTCTACCTTTTATCCTCCTACTGAAGCTGCTGCTGAGGGGCCAGTGGGGATAGGAAAGTGTCTCCATCAGAGCAGCACCATAATTTAGTGTTAGTCCTACCTAGCTTGACATCAGGCCCAAGTTATTACTGTTTCCCTAGATGGCAACTCACCAGTCTAACACATCCTACACCAAAAAGTGTTGCTGCCTTCCCTCCTTCTCTTCCTGGCAATCTGTGATATCCCCTGTGTGTCTTTCTTTTCTATCTCACATTGATTCTTGGCAGCTTGCTTTCTTTATTTAAAAAAAAAAGTGAAACATTTTGCAGCTGTATTTTTAAACAGCATATTGTTTGCTTAAATTTTCAGAGCATGTTCTACTCGCCACTGAAATGTACCTTAAAACGCGGACAGTGTGTCAAGGTTTCTTTATGTATTCAGCACAAGAGAAGATTTAAATTAGCTTCTCCTTTAGGAGACGCTATTTCTCACAATAACTTCTCACCACAGGATCAAAACTAGAACTAAGGTCCAAAAGCTAAGCCTTCTGCAGGTACACAGTATCTATGCTGTATTAACATGGCCCTGCCTCTAGCAGGGATAGGAGCCCATGGATGATGGGTTTTCATACAAACTAATATTCAGTTTTCTGATTCAAAGTTCCTTCCTTGGTTTTTGTGGAAAATCAGTTGAGTTGAGTTAGCAATTAGCTGCAAAAGTTGAGCTAACTGCTCCAATCTCATCCTGCAACACCATGCAAGGCTTGTGGGGAAAAGCTGAGAGTGGGGCCAGTAAGGCAGGAAAGGGACCAGTTGAAAACGTTCTCCAGAGTGTGAGAAAATGTTGGGAACTATTTTTGTGGTATGCCTGAATAATAGTGGTTTACCAGACTACTTGCTGGGGAACCTGAATAGTAAATTCGTTTTGCTTCTCTTTCTCCTGCAGTGTGTGAAATGTGCTGATACATTTTTTCTCTTGCAGATTTTATTCCCCTTGGAGAGAAAAGCACCTTTCCCCACTTATTGTGGAAGAGCAGGAAGTCTACCAGGGCGGGAAAGTGCAAGGTGGGCCAATTTTGTCCCTTCTACACAGGCAAGAGCAGGGTGATGTGTGTCCAAGGCGGCCTTTCTTGAGAGACAAATAAGCAGCAGAGGTGCCTAGAGATCGTGATGATGAGTGTGGCTGAGGAACCTGCAGAAAAGAGTACATACTCCTACAAACCAGGGCCACCCCTGCTCCTGCTGACAGCAGAGGTGAATAAATGCTCATTGAACTTGTCAGGAAAAGGATCAGATTAATAACTCTCTCTGGCATGAGAAACAAAGAGACTGATACAGGATCGAAGTAAAAACCTTAAATCAGAGTAATTTCTCAGGACTGGAACTTGCAAATGCATTGGTCATCTCTGTCTCCAGAATAAAAGGCTGATACTTTGCAGGCCATGTGAATTTTGCTATTCAGACACAGAGGGATAAAGTGGGGTTTTATGGAGGCAAATGTTTACAACCCTAAATACAACCCAGTGTCCACCCATCTACACCAGAAGCTCCATCACTGACCACAAACACGCAGCACGGTGACAAGCTGCCAGTGCTTTAAGAGGCTGTATAACTCACAAAAGGCACCTGACTCAGACATAAGGCTACAGGTTTCATTTTCTGTCCAGACAGTTAAGGCCTACCTTAACCTTTTAAATGGACTGGTGCTCTCTACTTTCTATCGACTAATGGTCTTCTCCAACTCAGATTACTCATTTGGCTGATAAATCTGTACTTTCACTAAGTGTCCTTTTCCTCCACTAGGTCTCTCCAGGACTTCTATGCTATTACTGGATGCTCTTGCAATGTGAGGGTCTGAACAATATGAGATTTCCTATGTAACCCCTTCTTTCACTTATTTTGTGACTTGGAGTGAACGATCCCAATGCAACCTAAGTGTGGTAGGAATATCCATACCTTTGTTCCTAGCCAAATGTCTTAAGCATGAATCAACATTTCATCTCCCTCTTGGATGCTACAATTCCTGTGTCTCTGGTGGCCAAAATGTGATGGCTTCCAGGGGGAATGGGAGGCCTGCTCAGCCTTAATGTGTTGGGACAAGCTCCTGGAAGGCAGTGATGTACGGGAGTCATGCCAAGCTTTGAGGTAAGGAAACCTAGTATTTGAGCCTCACAAGTATTATGAACTACTGCTGCTTCCACATCACCCAAGGGAGCTTTTGGGTGCCAATCTCTTGTAGTCATTCTGGGCTATAAATTCCAGCCTCCCACACCAACCATCAGGTCCATCAGAATGGAAGAAGGAGGTTTTCAGTGCCCGTTTTCCATGTGGTGCTTCCTCCTGGTATAGCAGGTGGAGTTTGTGAATCTCATTTCTAGGTAGTGAGCTCTTTCTCTGGCTTCCAGCTCATCTGGTTTTTGCCCTCAGATTTTTGTTTTAAGGCCAGGTTCTCAAGCTCTAAATACCTGAGTTCTTTTTAGAAATGTGACTGATTTAGGCACTTCTGAAGGGTCCAACCTTTTAACGAAACCCTGTAATATCACAGATTAAAGTAGTTCTCATAGAATCTGTGATCAGACACATAACCAGTCCAGTAAAGATAAGGTGAGAGAAGGAACCACAACCTAGCCTTGATAAGTAATGTCCTTTTTCTTTAAAGTCTGCCCCATACTGGCTGATGCTACAACCACATCAGCATGAATCCTAAGATCACAACCCCCTGCTGACCTAACTGTGCTAACCTTTGTGTGAAACCTGGCAACTATGTACCTGCATAATTCTCAGGGAATGAAAAGCTAAGATCCTCTTTCCTTCTGAGTCATTCCAGACTCTCCAATATGGTATTCAAGTACCCTCCATTGGACTTGGATGAGATCTGTGTTCCCATATGTCTCTCCCAGCCTCAAGGCCACTGCTTAGCTTGAGACATCGAGGGTGTGGTCTCATCAGAGGGGATGGGCACAGCCTGTCCTCAGCACTTGGTGGTTTCTGGTGCTGGCTATTAGAAGGGTTTCCATATCCATGACTGCCTGTACTGCCTGTGGTGTTCCAGTACGTGCAATGAGCTTCTAGGAAGGCAATGCAGCTGGATGGAAAATCAGTACTGACCCTATAAAACTGCCTATTTCTGGGCAACTCTTGGGCACCAGAAGAACAAGGAAGGGTTAACAGGCACTCCTGCCAAATACAGAGAAAATGGGACACGCAAGAACAAATAAAAAACAAAAGACTGATTTCCAGCCCCGGGTTATTTTGTGTTGGTGACTGTGCTGTTGGATGATCAATGAAAAGCTAAAACAGCAGAGAGACAAGGTGAAGGACAGAGACTTGGAGATGGAGAAGCCAAAATGACACAAGCCTGCCCTCCAGCTACTTTAGAGAAATCACTAATTACTGTCAGTAAAAGAGCAGTATAACAGCAAAGCTCCAACGATGCTCTGTACATGGCATTTGCGAGTATATGAAACAAGTTGTTTAGCTTTCATTTCACTTGGCTGTTCTCCTTTTTACCACTGTACCTCATGAAATACTCACACTTGTGGTTTGACATCCCCCTTCCCATGAAGTGGCTATGGGTGACTGAGCACATCACAGAATCACAGAATCACAGAA